AATTACAAAAAAATGAACAAAATGAAAAATTGTGATTGGTTGAATGAAGTTTGCACGGTTTGTACAAATTGAGTGGTTTGCATTTGATCGTTCCCTTATATATATAAGTTCATTTGAAAAGTGGTAAGTATTTGAGAGATAGAGAAGTGATCCTAGCCTTTAATTTAGTCAAAATTTATGGCTTTGACTGTGAAGCACAAGATAATTTCTCACATAGTATGTAGAAGATAGAAGAGATTATTTCGTAACTTTTACAAATAGACGACAAAACAAGTGTGTATGTGAACTCATGTGATTCACATATGAATTATATGTTAATATGTGAATCCATTTAATTCACACATGAACCTGTATGATTCACATATAAAGTAATTAACTGATTCATATATGAAATATGGGTTCGAATATGCTTTTATGGGTTTACATATACACTTGTTTACCACCTATTTGTAAAAGTTACGAATACCCTTCTACTTTTTTGCTTAACCCGTCAAAACCACAATTCTCGACCACTTTTAATGTATAAAAGACCAGAATTACTTATTTGCTTTTCAAATATTTATCACTTCTCAAATAAATCTCTCCCTATTCTTGAAATGATTGCATTTTATTTATATATTAACATATATGTGTATTATGGTCATTCATACTTTTTTTTTTTTTTTTGTGTTAGATTTCATTAAACCTTGACTAGCAATAAAAATAAAAATAAAAATAAAAACAAATAATTGTTGTTTTAGTTTAGACTTTGAAGTCTTGACATTCTGTATTCAACAGCATTACCAACGGTTGTAGAAATCACAATAGAAACGCCCGATGGGTCTGGACTGATGCTTAAGGTAAGCTTACATAAAGTATCATATATATATATATATATATATATATATATATATATATATATATATATATATATATAGATTTGAGATCACGTGAGATAATGATGTTTTTTGTGAGACAATTTTTAAATGTTTTGTTAAATATATATTGAATTGTATAATGTTTATATTTTAAATGTTTTAAACATAATATTTATAATATAAATTGCTAATAAAAGAAATAGCGAGATAATGTAGTGTGGGTGGGTTGGTGGGTGTATCGTGTCTTAACATAGATTGGTTTGACTCAGGGGATATCAACGGACAAAATTTTAGACGTTCGGAAGCTGTTAGCGGTACACGTGGAGACATGCCATGTCACCAACTACTCTTTATCCCATGAGGTTCAAGTTCAACTACCTTTTTATTTCTCATCATCACAAATTTACGTTTTTTTTTTAACCTACATCAAACTCCAATTGTATAAATAAAACAAAAGGAACATTTATTTTTGTAATTAATGGCAAACTACAAATTTGGTCCCTGTACTTTGTAAAAGATAACATTTTTTATCATCGTAGTTTTGAAAATATAAGATGATCATTTTGATTTATAAAAACGTCTGCATTCTTGGTCTCCTCTCATGATAGAATTCACTCATATTCACTCATTGAAATTGAATAAGTAAACAATTAAATTGGATGGTACAAACAAATATAAATAATCTTTGAGAAATTTTTTACGTAGTAAATGAAATTTGAAGACAAGAACAAATTTTTTTGTAATAGAGTGGCATTATCGTCTTTTATTGATTTTTTTTGTCTTTTACACAATCAAAAAAACCACGTAGATCAAAATCATAAATTTGATTTTGAAGGAGTAAATGACAAGCAAAAAATCGATAAAAAGAGAAAAATGTCTCTCATTTAATCAAACTTTTTAAAGGCCATTAAAGGAAGAGACCAAATCCAAACATTTTTACAAACCACAACAACCATCTTGTAACTTTGAAACGGCAATGACGAAAAACGTTTGAGATGGACTAATAATAGATTGTTTAGAATACCAACTTAATTGTATTTATTTTGATGAGAATTGAACGAAAAATAATGCATCTTACACGGTTATGCAAATATATTTGTGAATTTTATCGACTTATATGTTGATAATAAATGCTACGAAGTTGTAACTTAGTTTTTATTTATTTAATGTAACTACTAGAATTTTTATTCTTAACAAACGTTTAATTTTTCCTATTTATTACATATTTTGATCGATGATCGACATTTAGTAACTATTGATGACCTCAATGTTAAATTATCAAATTATATTCATAATTGTTGATTAAGCAAAAAGTTACGTGAAAATAAATCATTATCGCAAAGTTTTTTGAATAATAAACTAATTAAAATGATATTTTACTTTAGGAAGGTTTATATATATATATATATAGAGAGAGAGAGAGAGAGAGAGAGAGAGAGAGAGAGAGAGAGATAATTTTTTATTAACCATGTAATTGGTGCTAACTTTACCAATCTATATCAACCTTTAATTGATGAGATCAACGGGCCTTGATGAAACGATGGCATTATGGTAGTTAGTTTAACAATGGATGAGATTCCTTCTTGATGAAACAAGTGAACAAAGGGCAAAATAGATAGATCATTTCAATATCGAAATTTAGGTAACGTATATGAAAACCGATAATCACACCTACAAATTTGTGAAACATGAAATAGTGTTCGTTTATCGGACATGTTCATTTGTGAAACATGAAACAGAGTCAGTGTTATCAAACTTACAGGTGCGAGGTCGAAGGCTGAAAGATACAGTCGAAATCGTCTCTTTAAAGCCTTGTCACTTAACGGTGGTTGAAGGTAACTATAACTATAATTCTTTTGGGGCTATTTTGACAATAACTATAATTTCAAGGGGCTCAATGATTTTTTATTTTTTTATTTTTTACAGAGGATTATACGGAAGATTCCGCCGTCGCACATGTCAGACAACTGCTAGATATTGTGGCTTGCACCACCGCGTTCGGTGGTTCATTTAACTCTCCTAAGAACACCAACGTTTCCGTTCGTTCTGGTTCGATTGCCAAAGAATCAGGATCCGGCGATGGTCAGGATAAGAAGTCGTCCAAGAGAGATGTCTCGATCGGTTTCGATCCGTCAGACGCAGCGGAGATTTATCCTCCGCCGAGGCTTGGACAGTTCTATGACTTTTTCTCCTTTTCTCATCTCACTCCTCCCATCCAATGTAAGACCTTAATGCTTAAATTTCCTTTTGCTATGACTGTAACAACAACAAAAATCGTTGTTTGACACCAGTTACTCATTTTACTTTCTCCTTTTTCCAAGAACAACTACACCTTGACGTTACTTTTGAATCCAATACATTTCCAAAAACAATTGCTTTAACTTCATATAAGTGTAAAAAATAATATTTGTTAATTTTGCTACACTCACACCCCATTGTTGCATCTTCATTGGACATGGTCTTGGACTCGAATATCGTAAATTGCAGTTTACACAAAGTCCTAAATGATTTTTGGCTACTCTACCGTTAAATTTTGTTATTCAGCCAATTTAACTCATATTTTGATAGCGAACTTGTTTTACAGCCAAAACTGATTTTTTTTCTTAGATTTTGTTGACATTATATTGTTCATAAAGGATGGCATTCATGGACAAAAAATAGCTGGCATGGAGAAACAAATAGTTTTCCTTAACAAATGCTCATGCTCCACTTGAATTTTGAAACGAAAAGTTACATATATGATATACAACTCGAAATGTGTATTTTCTATGGAATGAAGGGATTATTAATCTTGTTCAAGTCAAGCCAGAATTTATAATTTGTGTGTTGGTTCACAGACATTAGGAGATCGGGTCGACCGTTCCTTGAAGATAAAACAGATGATGATTTCTTCCAAATTGATGTGAGCATTTCATTATAGTATTTTGTACTTGCTTTTGAAATTGTGGAGCACTACTGTTTTAGAGATTTTCATGGTGTTGCTTGTTTACTTGAGAGCCACTGAGATGAGTTGTATGGACGTCTACTCATATATGCAGGTGCGAGTTTCAGGTGGGAAGCCGATGACAATCGTTGCCTCGAGAAAAGGGTTCTATGCAGCTGGAAAATGTGCTCTTTTAAGTCATTCTTTGGTTGGTTTATTGCAGCAGATGAGCCGGATCTTTGATGGTGTAAGTGAAAAGTTCATTGGGCATTGACTTATCATGTGACCTACGAGTATTGGGCACTTATTCATTCCCAAAATAAATAAGACTGGACTTAGACTTAGTTCAATACGATCGTGTGTAACTATTAATAAAATATGAAATATCTATAATGTTCGGTGTTCCTCCCATTGCCACCAATATATTGGAATGTCCAGCTGGGCAATGAGTTACCTTGGATCGAGATCTAGAAAAGAAATAGTTGGCATTTATTTTAGGATTTAGGGAGAATTTCTTTGGTAACACCTGCTTTCATGTGGAGTTTTTCGTATAATCTAACTGGTTACTTGTCTTTCTCGTATGTTATAATGCAGGCATACAAAGCTCTTATGAAAACTTTCATTGAGCACAATAAAGTAAGTTGAATTTACTGAGCACTATAGTGTCACAATTGTGAGAGAATACTTGGAAGTAAAAGGTTTTTTTTATTTGTCTCAGTTTGGAAATCTCCCTTACGGGTTTCAATCGAACACGTGGGTTGTACCTCCAATTGTTGCTGACAACCCATCTGTTTTCCCACCACTTCCTGTGGAAGATCAAAATTGGGGAGGAAATGGTGGTGGACAAGGAGGAGATGGTAAACATGATCGTAGGCAATGGGCAAAAGAATTTTCTATTTTAGCAGCAATGCCTTGTAGAACAGCAGAAGAGAGACAAGTTAGAGATAGGAAAGCTTTTCTACTTCACAGTCTATTTGTCGACGTATCGGTGCTAAAATCCGTTGCAGCCATTAAGCAACTTACTCATAGTAGCAAGTCATCCTCAAATGGTTTGCTTGATTCATTTTCGCATGAGGATAAAATTGGAGATCTGCTTATCAGGGTTACAAGAGATGTGCCTGATGCTAGCACAAAGCTGGATGCTAAAATTGACGGGAGTCGTGTTCTAGGATTGTCACCAGAGGAGCTTGCTAAAAGAAACTTGCTTAAAGGCATAACTGCAGACGAGAGTGCAACGGTTCATGTAAGTATCATACCATTTGTATATTTCTTGCTTTTTAAACCTCTAAAGTGTTCCGTGGCTTATCCAACGAATATGGTATGCTATTGTTATCATGCAGGATACATCTACTTTAGGCGTTGTGGTTGTTAGACACTGTGGTTATACTGCTGTTGTGAAAGTTGCAGCTGAGGTAAACTGGGATGGAAAACCCATTCCACAAGACGTTGATGTCGAGGACCAACCTGAAGGGGGTGCCCATGCTTTGAATGTCAATAGGTAAGTTCACAAGCAGTTATGCCACAAATTTTATACTTCATTTATCCCAAATAAATTCAACATTTGATCAGACACATAGTTCAAGCAAAGAGTTCAGCCGTTGGTTAAATATTGGAAATACCCCTCCATAAAGACAGTATAGGAATCTAGTGGAGAGAAAATCAACATGATTACTATCTTTTAATGATCTCTGAAAGACATATAAGTAATATTGGAATGATAGTTTGCCAAAAAGGAAATGTTGCATTAGTTTAAAAAAATCCCAGAATGGAAATTGTTCCATTTATTTCTTGGGACTGGTTTTTCTTTTGAAATCAGTAGTTCTTTTCTTTTTAGTTTTTCTTCTGCTGTGTGCCAGCTAAATGACATGTCATCTGCTTACTGGTATAAGTATTAGTATATTACACGTTTTCTTTTCATGATGATTTTTAGGTTGCTAATAATTTCTTACCTTATCATGTTGCAGTTTAAGAATGTTATTGCACAAGTCATCAACAACGACACTATCATCTATTGCAGCTCAACGAGTACAAGTTGCAGATGTTGAAGATATGCACTCTGCTAATATTGTGGTCAGGAAAGTGTTGGAGGAAAGTCTGCAGAAAATACAGGCAGAAGTCTCTAAAGCCACAAAATCTATCAGATGGGAACTTGGAGCATGTTGGGTGCAACATTTACAAAGCCAGGATTCTGGGAAGCCTGACTATAAAAAAGCTGAAGAAGCTAAGGTAGAACCGGATGTGAAGGGTCTAGGAAAAGGATTGCTAAAGGGAATCAAGAAAAAGTCTGAGGATAAGATCAACAAAACGGAGGAGGAGGTTTCTACAAGCAACAACACTGACATGATCAATAAATTAGATAACCATGGCAAAGAAGAGACGATAAAAATGGATGAAGAAAAGGAAATGTTGTGGAGAAAGCTGCTTCCTGAAGCAGCATATATGCACCTTAAAGAATCAGACACTGGTCTTCACCTTAAGGTTGGCTTGTTGCTCTAATTTTGGTAACTCTATGGAGCATACTTTGATTTTGGAGGTTAATGTTAGAACAATCTAGGTCTTGGTTGCTTGATTGTATTTGATCTGATATTGGTTCATGTTGGCACAGTCACCTGATGAGTTAATTGAGATGGCACACAAATTCTATGACGAAACTGCCCTTCCAAAGTTGGTTGGTTCTTTAACATTACTAAAAGGATGTTCTGTATCTATTGTCACTTGGCCTCAAGTCTGTAATTTATAGCTGCAACTTCGTCTTTTTAGGTAGCTGATTTTGGTTCCCTTGAACTTTCACCTGTTGATGGGAGGACACTGACAGATTTCATGCACACGAGGGGCTTGCGTATGTGCTCCTTGGGGCGAGTGGTAAGTCTTTTTCCTCTTCTTCTTTCCATACCATGTTCATCTTTACATCTTGATACTGCAATCACTATCTTGTAGCTTAATGCTAGAGTGGTACAAATTTGCTTAAGATAACCTAAACTTCCTGATCGATTATGTCATTCCTATTTTACCTAGTAAACTACCATGAGTGCATCAATAGGTGGCCCACAACAGTTTTATGCCCTTGGATTAGGTGTCCCTAGCCTTCTAAGAAAACCGATGACTTCGTTTTGCTCATTCATTCTCCTTGATAATCAAACCTAGAATTAACAACACAAATAGTCATGGAGACAAGCGACATCACATGCAACCTGCATCATGTTCTTGCAAGGATCAAAATTGATTATCATAAGTTAAAGGCATGCATAATGTATTTCGGTAGCTTTCTGAATCAGGAAATTAAAACTTAGTTTTCTTTCTATGTTTTGTTAGGTTGAACTCGCAGATAAACTCCCTCATGTGCAGTCACTCTGTATCCACGAGATGGTTGTTCGAGCTTACAAACACATCTTACAAGCAGTTATAGCAGCAGTTGACGATATAGCTGATTTGGCTGGGTCAATAGCATCCTGTTTAAATATATTGCTAGGAACGCCAAATACAAGTAATGTAGATTCGGTAACTAGCAATGCCGATGAGTTAAAATGGAAATGGGTTGAATCCTTCATGTCGAAGAGATTTGCATGTCAACAGAAGAATGAATTTCATCGCACTCTTCGTAAATTTGCCATTCTTCGAGGGCTTTGCCACAAGGTATAACACGAGAGATAATTTTCTTATCCTCTGAGTAGTTTTTCTTCTTTGAATATTAACTTTGCTCACCAGGTTGGGCTTGAGCTTGTTCCTAGAGACTACGATATGGATTCAGCATACCCTTTCAAGAAGGCAGATATTATAAGCATGGTTCCTGTATATAAGGTGAATACATGATTCATTTATGTCAATCTGTACACAAGGCAGACCAAGAACTTACAGTAGATTTGACATTTGAACATTTACATTTCACTCAGCATGTTGCATGCTCCTCTGCTGACGGACGTACACTTCTGGAGTCATCCAAAACATCGTTGGATAAAGGCAAGCTTGAAGATGCTGTCAACTATGGAACAAAGGTGATTAAATCTTTAGTTATAAGATGATTTCACAACATTTCCATCATGTTATTGTTACCACCATCTAAACCTGATTTCTGCAGGCACTTTCAAAACTTGTATCTGTCTGTGGTCCTTACCATCGAATGACGGCAGGTGCATATAGTCTTTTGGCTGTGGTGCTCTATCATACTGGTGATTTCAATCAGGTACATGAACATATTATCTTGTGTTGTCTTTTTGTTACCATAAGAATAAGTCAACTGCAACATGCTTCTTGGATCAATTGGTAAGGTTACTAATTGACGACCGGAAATCCATGAATTCAAGTCACAAGAACAACCTCTATGCAAAAAGTAAAGGGAAAGATGAATGCAAAGACTTCCATGTCCAATCCTCACAAATTGAGTTGCTACAATGATGATGCACTAGGGTCACTCAATAAGTCAAGTAATCAACTCTCACACAAATGATCATTTCCTTTCCATCACATTGACTTGGAAAAGATGGTAGCTACTGTATTTTCTTGTATAAGATGAAATATGTTTCACTTTCCCAAAAAAATGCAACATTTTCCTTTTTGGAATATTGCACACAAGTTGTGACACTTCATTTCTCAGAGAAATTTTGATAAAATTTGCGTGTTTGCCCCCATTTTGATCTTAAGATAATTCAACCTACAAGGTCCTTTTGTTTCTTAAAGACACATATGCTCAAGTCTAATCACAATTTTTTCCAACCCTCGATTAGGCTACTATCTATCAACAAAAAGCTTTGGATATCAACGAGAGGGAACTTGGACTCGATCATCCAGATACAATGAAGAGTTATGGGGACTTAGCTGTTTTCTACTATCGTCTCCAACACACAGAGTTGGCTCTGAAGTAAGTTTTCTTTCCTTGAATGGTGTTTTATGAACGGATAACTTAACTTCTTTGACATATGTGCAATAAAACTTTACTTATTGATGAAATGTAGCTTATGTTCGTCTTCCTTCTTAGGTATGTGAATCGTGCATTGTATCTTTTGCATTTAACATGTGGTCCTTCTCACCCGAATACTGCCGCCACCTACATCAATGTAGCAATGATGGAAGAAGGTTTAGGAAATGTTCATGTTGCTCTTAGATACCTTCATGAGGCTCTCAAGTGTAATAAAAGGCTCCTTGGAGCTGATCACATACAAGTAATTTCTCTCTCTCCTCAATCTTATATGTGTTGCATAGAAACATAACTTGTGCACAAAAAGTAATGCTTACACATAAAAGACAATCTGCTGATTTTTTATTTCATATTTCAATTTCTTATGTGATCTAAATTGACGATTATCGGATGGTCATTGTTTCTTTGGATGGCTTACATTCGACACATAATACTCGGTTACTCACACTTGGTGTATCTCAACTTGTCAGACTGCTGCTAGCTATCATGCCATAGCAATTGCTCTTTCCTTGATGGAAGCATACTCCCTGAGCGTTCAACATGAACAAACCACTCTGCAGATTCTGCAGGCTAAACTTGGACATGAAGATCTTCGTACTCAGGTACCTTAGAAACTTGGAACTTCTGTTATGATAATTAACTGTCACATCAGCAATTGTGTGTTTTGCACGATCGTTCTTTCACTTAGTGTGTAAGATATTATAGGATGCAACTGCATGGCTTGAATACTTCGAGTCCAAAGCTCTGGAACAGCAAGAAGCTGCACGCAATGGTATACCGAAGCCTGATGCCTCTATATCTAGCAAAGGACATTTGAGGTACATCCTCAAATTTTGATTTTAAAGATTCAAACCTAGTCCTTCCCAGATTCAAGTCAAAACATGCATCTATTATAATATTCCTATATAGTTACATGTAGTTTTCGATTTTATTTATGCATAAAATGAAAAGTTAAAAGTTACTCACCAATCGCTTTTAAGTTGCAAAAATTTCATTTTGGGAAGTCCCAAGAACCACTTATTTGCCTATTGTCATAGTTATTACCACCCATTTTCCTATTGTCATTGTTGTTACTTATTGATGCCATCGACTTTGGTCCACAAGATTCCATTGTGTTATCATCATTTGAGGACGTTGAAGGCATTTGATGAAAAGTCAAAAAACTTAATAAAACCATATCCACAGTCAAACATTGCAATTCCTGGTTAAACATTGTAAGTTTCATGCGAGTAGTAACTCATTGAATACTCTTAAAGATAAATGTGGGCTTTCGGAGTGGTACTAGATGGCAATAAGATCTGGAGGCTTTATACCAACCTGATTATTTTACATTATTGGGTCAGTGTATCAGACTTGCTAGATTATATAGCCCCAGATGCAGATATGAAAGCACGAGACGTCCAAAAGAAACAAGCTCGTGCAAAGGTGGTAAGCTTTTTCATCTTATATACCTTCTCATCCATCCCTTTGTCACCATCACACCACTCATGATCAAAATTTTCCATTTCTTTCTGATATTGTTTTCAAAATTTTGCCAATCATCCAGATTAAAGGAAAAGCAGGACAACAGGAAGAACTGTTAAGTGATGAACTTCAAGAAGATGAAGTTCTATCACCAAGCCGAGAGAATTCTAGCGATAAAGAGAACAAATTTGAATTGCGAAATGCACAGTCTGTTAAGAAAACCAACTTGGTTCAACCTGAGCAGATCCAAAGGGAACAAAATGGTTATTTGGCAGAAGCCGACAATTCTGATGAAGGATGGCAGGAAGCTTTCTCTAAAGCAGGTCGTAAATCTTCAACTTCTAGGAGGCCAAATCTGGCAAAAATAAACACGAATTTCATGAATGTCTCTCAGACATCAAAGTACCGATCGAAGCACACCAATTTCACTTCCCCAAGAACAAATACTGGAGAGTCTGCTGTCACTAAGAAATTCATCAAGACTGGAAGCTCTCCCAACACTACACAAACATCTGGTTCAGACAAACCTACCAACCCAAAGGTGAATCCATCCAGTCCAGCATCAAATGATCAGACAGTGAAGCATTCTCCAGTTATAAGTTCGATCAGTGTTAAAGAAGCTGGCAAGCTTTTTTCTTACAAGGAAGTTGCAATAGCTGCACCTGGTAGCATTGTGAAGGCTGTGGCTGATCAATTGCCCAAAGGAAATTCTCCGGTGAGCATAGCTCAAATGACAACAGAGGAAGCAAAGAAAGATAAAGATGAAGTTCATGTGTCCAATAATGAACAGAAAACCGCCATTGATGATAAGGACAAGCCAGAAGTCGAAATGGTGATAGAAGTAGAAAGTGTTGAGAAGACAGAGAAAGGAATAGAATCGGCAGTGGTTGAGAATCTTGATCCAAAAGTTGAAATTTCAAAAATATCAGCAGATAGTCCTTGTGATTTAGAGCCAATTTCTGCATTGGTTCAAGCTGACACGAATGGAATTGTGGCAGATGAAGATGAAAAAACACCAAGCACTGAAGGTGTTACTCTAACCGAAACTGCAAAAGAGGTGACCAAGAGACTTTCTGCAGCAGCTCCTCCATTTAATCCATCCAACAATCCAGTTTTTGGTTTGGTCACAATGTCTTTGAAAGATCATGGAGGAGGGATATTACCCCCACCTGTAAACATACCTACAATGGTCACAATAAACCCTGTTCGTAGAACTCCCCATCAATCAGCAACAGCCAGGGTTCCATATGGTCCACGTCTCGCAGGTGTGTATAACAAATCCGTGAATCGAGTCCAACGTAACAAGCCCATTTTGTACAGTGGTGGTGAACTTGTTGCAGATGGTGGTCATCTAAGCCCTCCAAAAGTTATGAACCCACATGCAGCTGAGTTTGTTCCAGCTCAACCATGGGTTTCTAATGGGTATCCGATTGCTCCTAACGGTTATCTGGTGACATCCAGTGGATATCCTATTTCTCCAAATGGTTATCACCCTATCACCACCACAAACGGGTTTCTAGCTGGTCAAAATGGGTACCCTGTATATCCTGTTGACTCAATTGAGTCCCCAGTTAGCTCATTAGATTCTCCATCAATTCTCACTCAAGAAGCTGGTGCTGAAACCTCAAGTGAATCTGTGGATGAGAACGAGTCGGTTGTGGAAAAAACTTGCGAAGAAACTCAGTCTGCAATTGATGAAAAACCTATTAGAACTAGAACAGTTGTGGAAGAAATTCAATCTGAAATCAAAGAAATGGCTACTGAAATAGATAGCCAATCATCAGAGGTTGTTTCTATGAGCAAAAGCTCTATGAGTGCTACAGACAGAAAGCCAATCAATGGTGAGGCTGAGATGGTCGAGGTTAGAAGTTAAAGGGTAGTATCGTCACTTTTAGTTTTACAGATTGCTATGGTTCATAGCTAAGAAGCTGTGTATCATCATCATCATCAGAGGCAACTTTTAGAAATTCTTTCATGTGAAAACCCGAACTTACCCCTTCAGTCACTGTAAGCTGACATGACAACCTTTGACGGAGGCGAAAGACACTGTTTTTGAGTAGTTTTTCTTCACAGCATTTCAAGTTTTGCTGAATTTTTCAAGTTCAACAATAAGAATCTGGTGAGTTCTGTACCTTGTTTTTTCCAAGCATTACTTTTCTGCCTTTGAAGACAGACGATGAAATTAATAATTTCTTGATTAATAGTAGTTCAATAAAATAGGCTTTGTTTCATTGCCTTCAAGATTTGCATGGCAACAGTTCAACATTTTAAATCAGTATCCACTGCAGGCAACATATTCGTGGCTTGGAGTGTTTTTTTAGTATTATTTTTTTTATTAACTATTATCTTTTACGACATCTTCAATTACTTTTCTATAATTTCTCTAAGATAAATAAAAAAATTACATCAAATTCCAACTATTTCTATATTCGAAGATTCTATCATTTATTACATTATTAATATATTCAATTCATTTAATGTTTGACAAACTATAAAGCAATTTTTTTCCTATAAAATATTAATTTTATGTTTTCTCTTCCAATATTTAGTTTTTGAGATTTTTTCTATTTCCAACAAATATGGAGAAAATTATCTTCTCTTTCTAGTTTCTAGGGGCTGTTTGGTTGTTTTCATTAAACACTTTCCCCTTTTTTTGCGTCAAAGATCTTACCATTTCCGTCGATAAAATTGCGTTTGGATTAATCTGTCAGTATGGAATGAAAAAGTTTGTTATTTGGGAGGATATTTTAATAGATGGATGAAACGTGTTTTTTAATTTGGAGGGGACTTGGTGCATAAAGCTCCTCTATAAGCTTGTTGAATAACCCACTTTCTATATCATTTAGCCGCTATAAGCTATTAGTCTTATTAAGTTCATTAAACCGTTAAAAGAAAGACCCTTAGTTCTTTGTACTGCTACTATTTACAATGAAATGGTATGTTGATCTTTGCACAAACAAAGTATGACAGTAGAATGTAATGATTTAACAATTAATGTTTCTAGCTCAAAAGTTCATCTGCGTTTATCAAAAGAGGTACAAAGGGTCAAGAATAGTTTATCCTAAACTCACATTTTCTAACGTAAACACCTTACAAATGTATTTCCAAAAGTTGGAAATACAAGGAACAATATGATAACTCATAAAAATGGCAGTCAATCTCAGACTATGTTTCACATCCAAGTTGCTCCCTCGATGCATTGTGCGGGCAAAGTCTGCCGCAAGTTCATGATCACGAGCGTTGCAGCAGCGTGGGCAAGAGCACCCGCCACGACGAAAACATGGAAGATCTGATGACTATGGCCAGCAATATCAAAAGCACCAGGCTTCCATTTCTCAGGTATCCTCCTAACGTAAAACATCGCTCCAAGAGAATAGAAAGCGGCCATCATGACCTCATAGCCAAGAGCCACAAGTATTTTCGAGTCTTCCCAATGTAGGAAGACCGCATGGGATGCAGGAATGACGCCCGAGAATCCCATGGCAAGGAAGAGGGTGGCACGGAAGGATCGGTAGCGGGGAGCAGATAGTGCAGGAGAGAGGAGGGTGAAGATGGCGAGAAGGCCAAGGGTGGTGATGGAGGAGAGGTAAAAGAGACGGGAGAACGGGTGGCAGGTGAAAGCGTAGAAGATGGGAGCGAAGAAAGAGGAGACGATCATGAGGGAGATTCCAGCGTAGTCGAGACGCCAGAAGAAGAGGTTGAAGCGTTCGGAGTGACAAGCGAAGAGGTGGGAGATGGAGCTGCAGATTAAACAGCCCATGGCTCCGCCTAAAAAAACAAACCACGGCCATTTGGGGATTGGGTTGTTGATTAGTACGATTGATGGTCTAAGAATTTCTCCTACGAGGGACTCCTGCATAACACCATCAACAGCAATTATTTGATGGGAAAATGAAAATCTAATTATTTTGGATAATATTCTTCAAATTTTAGCTTACCTTTTTCCAATTCAACAAAAATGGTCTAAAGGAACCCCCAGCCACCATGATTATTCATCTTGAATCGAATTGAAGTCATTTAATGAGCCCACTTTTTTAGTGAATTTATTTGCAATAAATATATAAATGCTATTTTAAGGATTTTAAGTTTTAGATTCACTTTCTACACCAATTTCAATTATATAATTAAAGAAATTAAATTTACCTAAATCACACACACAAAAAGAATTGACCTTTATCTAGTTCGACCCAAAGGCTTTCAAAGGTTAATTTGGTTCATTGAGTATAAACTGAACCAAACTATTGCATTGGATGGCTTAAATGAATTAAGTTCATAAAAAATTAATGATGGTTAGAACTTTACCAGAGTTGTTATAGTTGCATGACAAAAGGTAAGAGACGAAGAGTTGGACGCACATGCACATATATTGGTACCATGAAATTAGATTTTTGATCGATTTACTTTCTGCGTCCTAATCTAACATCACATAAATTCAAACATGGGACTTCATGTTTATGCAATGTTAGATGCTGCCGCCTACCATCTTGGTCATCCCATGGGGTTAGGCATATATTATATGTATAGATTGAGCTATTATAAATAAAATCATAATAGCATCAAAAGTCGAACACAAAACTTTAAGTTTTTGACATTTTGGGTGTCCATTTATAACCAACTATTTTGGGCATAATTGTGGGCGTTTCAGTCCTGGTTTGACGAGTGTTGGAGTTTGTTGAAGAAAAAGGGAACTTTAAGTGTAGGAAGTACTTATAATAAGAGGAGTTGTCAGGCATATGTTTCTTTCAGCAACCTTATCACGTGTTATGGACCATAAAAAGAGCCTTTAATCCAAAATTCTCTTATCTTCCATTTGACACTTGTGGGATTCATACGTCCCCTCCAACCTTTTCTTTTGTCCGTCGAATAAACTTTTGTTAAAACCATGAATAACTAAACCTCATTCCGTACATGTACATCAATAATCATCTTCATCTCTTTTCATTCTTAAATCTCATATAAATGACTGCATATATAGTTTCTATACATATAGATCATCCTATTAAGAGTAAATCTTGAATTCGTAATTACTTATTTAAGGAACTCGGTTAATATCAATTGAAACGAAAACAATCGTGCACTTGGATATTATTTGTGATCCTAGATTATTACTAGAACGATCAATTAATTACCAAAGGAAATTTGATGGAGTTTAGTCATAGTTAATATGGAACATTATCGTTTTACTAATTACATAATCTAATAAAAGTATATGTATGATAATTAAGTATCTAAAAGTTCTTCGCTTATAACAAAAGTTAAAGAAATACTATAGATGAAATCATAACGAAATAACTCTATGACCTAATATCGTCACCAGAACTTCCCAACAAAGATTTGAAGGACATGATCATATTTTCAATAAAAATGTTGTGTAGTATCAGATTTCACAAAATTGTAATTCAATTTTCTTGAGTTGAGTGATTGATATATAAAATGTTTTCATTTTTTTTAACACTATCAAAGTGATCAAATGTTTGGTGCTTTTATTAATTATGGGTTTTAGTGATATTTATTATATAAAAATCAAATACATATATCATAAATGATTCACCCCATCTTTAAGTGTTTTTATTTCTTTCCTAGAGTTCATGCGATGAGAAATCAATCAAAAAACAGCAAAAAGTGCATCATGAAGTTTAATTCATAAATAAAAGGGAAAACTCACCGGCACTAGCATAGAAGCCACCGAGCCATTTGCTTTCGTCATGGCCGACGTCATGGTCGGTTCTTGAAAGCCGTGAGTACTGCTTATTAAAAATTTCACTTAACAGTTATCAATGGACAGAATAAATGAAATATTTAAGTGAATGTGATATCGCAAATCACGAAGACGTCTTGACGCCATGAACGGACCTGTAGAAGCTCGCGATCAATGATTCCACCTTTTCCTTGCTCAATGAGCTCAAAACCGTCAATGACAAAAATATGAAGAAACCTACCAAATGCCTTCACAAAATTCAACACGAAGGAATGATCAATATATACGTATGATCCAAACAATCTACGACAAAAATAGGCGACAGGTTGTTAGATTTAATATTTATTTGATCAATTGGTGAAGGAATCGCTGGATCGATTACTTACGTCCAGATATTTAGGGTTTCATTGTGCCACATGAAAACACTACCGATGACATCCTTCAACGGCCATTCGCATCTGTAATAATCCAATATAAACTCATTATCTTTCAAATACTCCGGCAATTCATCGAACTTCATCAATCGCTTCCCGGATCTTCCCTTCAACATCATGTTCCTACTTTCCGACGAGATAAATCTGTTGACGACTCCACCCTTATCCTTCCCTCCTCGCCTCTTCATTCGTTGCCGGGAAAAATAAAATGATCACTCTCCCCGGCGTTTCATCCACCGGCAATCTCCCTCCGAAAAGCTCGCTGAATCTGTTTTTGAATCATACACATGGAAACATCGAGAGCTTCGAGAATTTATAACCAGCAATTTAAACCCCCGTCTATATTTTATTAACTTTGAATTCTGATCCTGTGTGCCATTATAATATTTCTAGTGTTACACGTGTCAGAATATAAATGGTTTTCTAGTTTGAACGTAAGGATTTTGTGACTGTAAAAAGGTTGTTGAAGGCTGTGCAGGATGCAAAGGTGGGTTCCAGTTACAGGTGATTAATTGTCGTCTTCGTTAATACTATCGTACACTTTATTACCGTTGTTTATTTTGGGCCTTCAAATGAAATTCATAATCGATGTTTCGGAAGGTATGAAATGTGAAAGGGATGAATCAATTTGGGTCAATGACACGTGTTTAATGTCCATTTGATTTCCAAGACATTAATGAATTACAAATCTGAATATCTAGAAGAAAAATACAAAAAATACCCAAGAAAATATCACGGTATGTCCAACAAATTCTTTAAAATAGAGAAAATAAAGGTTTTATTTTCCATTTTACTTCCACAAATCCTCAAATTGTTATCTAAAATAGAGAAACAAGAGAAAACTCTAAGGCTATATTTGTCAAGCTAGCCGGTAGCTGATGACTGATACGCCAAATGATAAATAAATTATATTTGGTAAAACTAGTTGATTAGAAAATAAAATGACCAAAAAAATATCTTGAAAAATTAATCAATTATAATATTTTAAAGTATAATTGAAA